GTGATCTTTCTATACCTGCACTTGCTTGTTTACCTTTATATATGATCTTGCTTGTGAACTGGCCTTGTGGCCTTGCTCTTGTGCTCGGAATGTGTGGTGACGTTGTGATCCACCCTGAGCTTGCTTTGCTTTGCTTGACTGTTCTTGTGACCTCTTGTTCTCCCCCACTTTGCCTATGGGGGTGTGTCAAACTTATATGCTATAGTTTGTGTAGGCTGTAGTGGGGTAGACAATATGGGGTAAAGCATTTCTAGGTTTTCCTACTTGTACCCACTTCTTTCCTAGTTCATTCATTCCTCATTTCTTCACACCACCCTCCTCAGTGGCAGCTGCAGCAGTGGGAGACGGGGGAGGAGGAGGAGGAGGAGGAGCAGGGGACGGCTCACACACTCGCCACCCCCATACCCACCACCCCATACCCTAAATGCAGGTGGTGCACGGGTCCCTGGGGCGCTGCGAAAGGCGACGGGAAGGGCGGCGCGCAGCCCTCGGGACGCTTCGACGGGCGACTGGAAGGAGGAGCGACGCGCGGGCCCCCTGGGCGCCGTGGGGGGCGACGGGCAGGGCTGCGCGCAGGCCCTTGGGGCGCTTCGACGGGCGACGGGAGGGGGGGGCGGCGCGCGGGCCCCCGGGACGCCACGACGGGCGATGAGAGGGGGCGATGCGCGGGCCCCCGGGACGCCACGACGGGTGACGGGAGGGGGGGCGACGCGCGGGCCCCCAGGGCGCCGCGGTGGTCGACGGGAGGGGACAGCGCGTGGGGCCCCGGGGCGCCACGACGGGCGACGAAAACGCCGCGCGTTCCCGGGGCGCGCGGTGGGTAGGAAACCGCCACGCGCCCCCAGCGCATGGCGGGCAGAAAACCGCCACGCGCCCCGAGCGCGTGGCGGGAAGAAAAATTGAACATCGCGTGCCACGGGGCGCGAACAGACAGTATGGTAGCGGAAGCAAGCGGGCCCACAGGCCAGGAGCGTAACCGCTCTCATAGCATGTCACAATAGCAGCTAGAACGCAGGAGCCATAGCTAGGGCTTAGCTAGCTAGGCAAGAGAGAATAGGCAAAAGAGCGGTTTCACTAGCAGGCAGTTTAGTACATATAGCAAACCCTAACAGGGCTATACTCACTATAGATTACCCCACTGCAGACTCGAGAAATATGACATTCTGATGGCGAGAAGGGACTCGTGATAGCTGTGGTTCTTCTCTTGGATGGTGCCTTCCGTCAGAAAAGGTAAGCTTCTGTCGTAATACATCCAGATCTGCGCATTTGTTGCGAGGAGCTCGAATTCGAAACTCCATGTGTACAAATCCTTGCCGTCGAATGGAACTGAAGTCTTCAGCTTTGAAGTCAAAACAAACTTTGTTTGCATTGTCGCAATTGCTTCTGATTGTATATGTTGTTGACTGTCTTGCGCAGGAGCTGAAGCTTGACGGTTGTCAAATGTGAATGACCTCTCGGAGTTGACGCGGTTCTCTTCTCCAGCGAGAGGGAGTCCAGCAACTCTTCGTGCGTAGCTCGAGCCATCGATGTTCATGGCTTGATGGCTCTCAAGCGCGTTGATGCGAGCGACTAGCTGCTCAACGAGAGTGGCGCTGACGGAAGTCATCGCTGATGGCGCATTAGTCGTTGTTGGTGGTGGGCCCGAAGAGTCTGCAGGAGCCATATGTCAGAATCCCAACCACTAGACCATTGGGATAAAAGGGCTTGTTTCAGTAGCGGGTCAGTGCGCCCATAACCCCCCCAGGCGAACGCGCCTGTAACCCTCTCCATGATCAATCGGGCATCCACAGTGCAGATCTACTGACACCCCCCCACACTGGGAGGCCCAGGACTAAGCACAGCGGCAACGGCCTACGTGTGCATACACCGGGAATCGAACCCGAGACCGCTCTGATACCATGTCAGAATCCCAACCACTAGACCATTGGGATAAAAGGGCTTGTTTCAGTAGCGGGTCAGTGCGCCCATAACCCCCCAGGCGAACGCGCCTGTAACCCTCTCCAGGATCAATCGGGCATCCACAGTGCAGATCTACTGACACCATAATGATGCAGACTTGTAGTAATTGTAATGAGTAGTTTTATAAGGAGTTTGTTCTATGAAGAACAAGAACTTGGCTTTAACTTATAATCCACTCTAGCTCTCATACCATGCTGTTATAACTGAAGGATCGAAGTGGATAGAATGAGTCTGCTAAGTTTAGAGAAGGCAATGAAGCCTTGGTGGTGACCTTGTTAAATAAAAGTCGAAAGAGATCAAGATAATTTTAAGATAAGATTACAAGAGTATAAATAACAAAATAGCTAGCCATTGTCAGAATTTGTAATTCTTATATAATTGCATGTTTAGTTAGTTAGTGTAGTATCAACAACTATCTTGTCTTTGGTGGTCTACCTCCCTTCACCACCTCCCCCCTTTTCCTATAACGTGTACTGTATTCTATAGTTCAAGCGCTCTTTTGGCCAAACCCTCTCTTCATTAACCCTAGCCTCTAGCTACTATTCGGACAGCCATGTATTGTGAGAGGTACGTTCCCTTATTGACTGAATTGCATTGCTACAGTAACCATGACTATTGCTCTTCTTAACACTTACCACGTTGCATCGCACAACTACCAAATGCGGTTACTGGACGGTCAAGAGTCACAACCGTTGACTCGCTTCGACTGTTGAACTTTGGATGACTCTCGTCTCAAACATTATATATATTGTGTTAGTTTAGGCTACAATGGGTTAGCCTATAGGGGGTACACAATTCTAGGGTTAGGTACTTGTACTCATTTCACTGCTAGTTCATTCATTCCTGTTCAGTGATTCCAACATGGTATAGAGCAGGTCCTTCCTAGGATCGAAATTTTCTAAGGGCCCACCACTACGTAACTACCTACCTACCTACCTACCTACCTGTGCCCTGGGGCGCCTCGGCGTGTCACGCCCCTAGAGGCCCCTCTTGACGGCCCCGCGCTAGCCCCGTTCAGGCCCCGTCGGCCCCACGCCCGCTCTCCCTAGCGGCCCCATTCAGGCCCCGTCGGCCCCTTTAAGGCCCCGTTTCAGGCCCTGTCGGCCCCGTTTCAGGCCCCGTCGGCCCCGCGCTAGCCCCTCTCAGGCCCCGTTGGCCCGCGCTAGCCCCGTTTCAGGCCCCGTTGGCCCCGTTTCAGGCCCTGTCGGCCCCACGCTAGCCCCTCTCAGGCCCCGTCGGCCCGCGCTAGCCCCGTTTCAGGCCCCGTCGGCCCCGCGCTAGCCCCTCTCAGGCCCCGTCGGCCCCGCGCTAGCCCCATTCAGGCCCCGATCGGGCGCGCGCTAGCCCCGTTTCAGGCCCCGTCGGCCCCGTTTCAGGCCCCGTCGGCCCCGCGCTAGCCCCGCTCAGGCCCCGATCGGCCCCGCGCTCGCCCCTCTAGGGCCCCAACCGGCCCCGTGCCGACCTCGCCGACCCGTGCCCACCACCTAGAGGCCCCGGGCGGCCCGTTCCCGCCGCAGCACACGAGGGAGAGCAGGCGGCCCGTCCCCGCCCTGACCCGAGCTGCGCGACCCGAGCAGCGCGCACCGAGCCGAGCCGCGCGCCCCGAGCCGAGCCGTGCGCCCTGAACCGAGCCGCGCCACCCAGCCGAGCCGCGACCCGACCTGAACCGAGCCGCGCCGCCCTGCCCTACCTGGTTCGTCCTACCTGCTTCTCCTACTGCTACTGCTGCTATTTCTACTGTTCCTATGGCTAGCCCACAGGTTCTCGTGTTCGATGCTGAGGGCCGCCCTGTGAAGTTTGACACCTGGCTCGATGACGTGCACCTCTACCTACAGCTCACAGCCAAGGATGACATCTCACTGTACGATCACGTCCTAGGCCATGTCACTGCCCCTGCTACTACTGCTGACAGCACTGCTCGCTCACAGTGGCAGACTCGTGATGCCCACGCTCGCTTCGCCATTTGCAACTCCCTGCCGATAGACGAACGCGAGCACTTTGGTCAGCACAAGACTGCACAGGCACTGTACACAGCTGTAGTTGCTCGCTACTCCTCACCTGCCTCTGCCGCACTAGGCCGTCTCTCCCTCCCCTACCTGTTTCCCAAGCTGGCCTCCTTTCACACAGTCGCTGACCTCATCACGCACCTCCGTACTAGTGAGGCCCGCTTCCGTGCCGCCATGCCTGCTGAGTTCCTTGCCACGCACCCCCCTCCACTCTGGCTCACTCTCTATCACCTAGTCACCCGCCTCCCTGACACACTGCGTGCTGTCAGGGACCACTTCCTAGCTCGTTGCCCCACTGAGCTCACCATTGCCCTCCTCGAGAAGGAGCTACTTGCAGCTGAGACTAGCATAGTCGCTGTAGGTGCCTCTCGTGGCGACCCCCGTACCCCGTTCTTTGAGGGGTGTTCTCCTTCCCCCCTTCTTCCCTCTGTCGCCTCTGCTGCTGCTGTCGACCTTCTTGGTACTGAGAAGGTCGGCGCTGCGTCTGCCTCGAGCAGACGCCGCAGCGGCAAGGGCAAAGGGGGCAAGGGTGGTGGCGGTGACGGCGGGGGAGGCGGCGGTGGGGGCGGTGGAGGCAGTGGGGGTGGTGGCTCGGCTGGAGGGGCGAGTGGTAGCGGTGGGGGTGGTGACGGCAGCGGCGGGGGAGGTGGCAGGAGTGGAGGCGGCGGTTGGGGTGGCGGTGGACGAGGCGGCGGCAGGGGTTAGGGTGGTCGAGGAGGTGGCAGCGGTGGTGGTGGCCGTGGAGGCACTGGCGGTGGCCAGGGCCAGCAGCACACTCCCTCGCCCTAGGAGGTCCGTGAGTGGTACTCTCAGCACGGGGGTGAGGGTGGTCTTAGCTGCACGTACGTCATTCGCACTGGTGACCGCACTGGTCAGCAGTGTGGACGACCGCACGCCACACAGCGCTGCTTCTCTCGTCTCGACGACGCTTGGCGTGTTCAGTTCCCTCAGGCCACTGAGCTACCCCGCTGGCTTGATCTCCTGAAGAAGGGGATTGATATCTATGCTCTAGACTTTGATGTTATTCTATCTGCCATGTATGTGATGTCTACTAGTGGAGAGGGTGCTGAGTACTTGTGTGTGCCGCCCGACCCGGGCATTAGGGCCAGTGCGTCTGCCGCTCCAGGTACTCGCGTGTCGGCTACCCCAGGTGCTGCTGAGGCTGCTGCTCTAGGTGCTCGTGTGTCTCCCCCCCTTGGTACTGCGTCGACTGCCGCACTGCACACCTTCACACTGGACTCAGGTGCTTCTCGATGCTTCTTTCGTGACCGCACTGCCCTTGAGCCGCTTGCTCGGCCAGTTGCTATCTCCCTTGCTGACCCCTCTGGGGGTCCGGTCATTGCGACCTCTTCCACTGTCCTTCCCTGCCCTGCGGTCCCGTTGGGCACACTGTCAGGTCTCCACCTCCCCTCGTTCTCTACGAACTTGGTGGCAGGATGTGCACTCCAGGACGGGGGTGTTCACCAGTTCACCCCTGCCTACGAGCGCGTGACACACTGCACGTGTGCTCGTACGGGCCGTCACTTGGCTACCTTCACTAGGCAGCCGGGGTCGGACCTGTACACACTGACTACTGAGTCCCCTCAGGTTGCTGCAACTGCGTCCGCGTCCGCGTCAGGTCAGCTGTCCGCCCCCTGCTTGTGTCGCTCTTTGGCACACGAGACTGTCCTCTGGCACCACCGCCTTGGCCACCCGTCTGTGCAGCGGCTTCGTGCCATGCACTCCCGGTACCTTGTCTCTGGCCTGCCCAGGGTCCTTCCTGCCCTCCCACCCTCGCCTGCTCCTACCTGTCTCCCTTGTGTCGAGGGACGGCAGCGCGCCGCTCCTCACTCCTCCTCGTTCCCCCCGACGACTGCTCCCTTGCAGACACTCCACATGGACGTGTGGGGCCCAGCCCGCGTCCGTGGTCAGGGTCAGGAGAGGTACTTCCTGATAGTTGTTGACGACTACTCGCGCTACACCTCGGTCTTCCCCTTGCGCACCAAGGGTGAGGTCCCTGATGTCTTGATCCCTTGGATCTGCAGAGCCCGTCTCCAGCTCAGCGAGCGTTTTCACTCGGACTTTCCTGTCCTGCGCTTGCACTCTGACAGAGGTGGTGAGTTCTCCTCCGACCTCTTGGCAGCCTACTGTGCTGAGCACGGCATTGAGCAGTCGTTCACGCTTCCGGCTTCTCCACAGCAGAATGGGGTTGCGGAGCGCCGCATTGGCCTGGTCATGGAGGTCGCCCGTACCTCCTTGATCCATGCGGCTGCCCCCCACTTTCTGTGGCCGTTTGCGGTCCGGTACACTGCGCATCAGCTCAACCTCTGGCCCCGTGTCTCCTTGCCGGAGACCTCGCCCACGCTGCTGTGGACGAGGGAGGTTGGCGATGCGTCGCGTTTCCGGGTCTGGGGGTCTCGAGCTTTTGTCCGCGATTCGTCTGCGGACAAGCTCTCCTCCCGTGCTGTTCCCTGCATCTTCCTCGGCTTTGTCCCGGACGCGTCTGGTTGGCAGTTTTACCACGCCACCTCGCGTCGAGTCTTGCCCTCCCAGGACGTCACTTTTGACAAGTCCGTCCCCTACTACTGCCTCTTCCCCTACCGCACTGCCCCACTCCCCCCCCCCCGCCTCTCTTCCTCGCGCCAAGTGCTGCTGTTGCAGACCCCCTCCCCCCTGAGGGTGCCGCTCCCTCAGGTGTGTCTCAGGTAGACCCGGTTGAGCCTGTTGAGGTAGCTGTCGACTCTCGTCCTGCTGGGGGTGCTGAGCCTGGGGGTGCTGAGCCTGGGGGTGTGGAGACTGGGGGTGTGGAGCCTGGGGGTGTGGAGCCTGGGGGTGTGGAGCCTGGGGGTGTGGAGCTTGAGGGTGCTGAGCTTGGAGGTGTGGAGCCTCGTGGTGCTGAGCTGCGGAGTCCGGAGTCTGGGGGTTCTGTGTCTGGAGGTACTAGGCCTGGGAGTCCTGCACCTGGAAGAGCCCTCTCCTCGGAGCAGCTGCGTGCGTGGTACTTAGAGTACTGCAGCCTCCGGAGAGGTACCGCTCGAGCCGGACGTACTACTGGGACTGGTGCAAGTGCTTCTTCTCCCGTTCGGGAGCTCCCCTCCCGCGAGCGGATCCGTGAGTGGTACGAGCGGCGCTGCACTCTTCGGAGTGGCGTGCCTTGTGTTACGGACCTCGCTGCTGTTGGAGCTGCTGCTGGTGCTGAGGACCCGGGCGTTGGAGCTGCTGCTGGTGCTGAGGACCCGGGCGTTGGAGCCGCTGCTGGTGCTGAGGACCCGGGCGTTGGAGCTGCTGCTGGTGCTGAGGACACGGGCGTTGGAGCTGCTGCTGGTGCTGAGGACCCAGGCGCTGGAGCCGCTGCTGGTGCAGAGGACCCGGGCGTTGGAGCTTCTGCTGGTGCTGAGGACCCAAGCGTTGGAGCTGCCGCTGGTGCTGCGGACCCGGGCGTTGGAGCTGCTACTGGTGCTGAGGACCCGGGCGTTGGAGCTGCCGCTGGTGCTGAGGACGTGGGCGCTGGAGCTGCTGCTGGTGCTGCGGACCCTGTTGCGGGTGTCCCTGCTGGCTCTGGTGTCGCTGCTCGGTCTCGGCCGTACTTTGTTCCGCTCCTTCAGCAGGTTCTTGGTCAGCTTCCTCCTCCTTTTTCTCCTCCCTCCTTAGCGTGTCCTCCGCCAGTCCAGCTTCAGTCGGCGTTACCGTCTGCCTCCTCTCTCCCTGGTCCTGCTCCTTACACTGGTCTGACTGGAGGTCTTACTGAGCAGCGTGAGCCTGCGTCTCGTCCTGCGTCGCCTGCGTCTCGTCCTGAGTCGCCTGTCCGCACTGCTCTCTCTAGTAGTCGAGTCCAGCGTCAGCGTCTTCCTGCTGTCCCAGGCACTCGCCGGATGGCGCTTCGTCCGTCTACTGCTCCACAGCGTGTCCCACTGCCGTCTCCTCCTGCTTCCTCTCTTCCTGCTCTTGCTGACCCTGGGTCAGACTCTCTTCGTGCTACCAGTCCTACTGTCACGCGTCTCCTGGCTACTATTGTCACTGACCCTTCCTTTGAGTCTGCTGTTGCGTCTGCCTTAGTTGCTGAGCTTGTCGACTTTGCTGCTCGTTGTCGTCTAGACTACGCTGCTAGCCTAGTTGCTGAGTCTGAATCTGTCTGTCCTCCGTCCGTCGGGGGTGAGTGTGCTCTTGGCACTGACGTCCTTGAGGACACGCAGGACGAGTTTGAGTGCTTTGCTGCCGCTTTGCCCCATCTCGTGTCCATGCTTGTTGCCCCTGAGGGAGACCCGGATGCACCAGACATCCCGACCCCACGCTCTTACGCAGAGGCGATGGCCGGTCCCTACTCCTCTCAGTGGCAGTCAGCCATGGACACAGAGATGGCTTCCTGGAAGTCCACAGGCACCTACGTCGACGAGGTTCCCCCACCTGGGGCGAACATCGTCAGTGGCTTGTGGATTTTCAGGGTGAAGCGGCAGCCGGGCTCTCCGCCTGTCTTCAAGGCGCGTTACGTTGCACGAGGCTTCAGTCAGCGAGAGGGAGTTGACTTCTTCCAGACCTTCTCCCCGACCCCGAAGATGACCACTCTTCGGGTTCTGCTGCACGTCGCCGCTCAGCGTGACTACGAGCTCCACTCGCTTGACTTCAGCACTGCTTTCCTGCAGGGCAGCCTGCACGAGGAGATCTGGCTGCGCCGTCCACCTGGCTTCACTGGGTTGTTCCCTCCTAGTACCCAGTGGAGCCTCCGACGGCCAGTCTACGGTCTCCGCCAGGCGCCTCGTGAGTGGCACGACACACTGAGGACTACGCTTGCGGCTCTTGGGTTCGCGCCTTCTACTGCTGACCCGTCGCTGTTTCTACGCACCGACACCTCACTGTCGCCGTTCTACGTCCTTGTGTACGTCGATGACTTGGTCTTTGCTACTGCTGACACTGTGGCACTCGCCCACGTGAAGTCGGAGCTGCAGAAGAGACACACGTGCACAGACCTGGGTGAACTGACAAGCTATCTTGGCTTGCGGATCACCCGGGACAGAGCACGCCGCACCATCACCTTGACTCAGTCACACATGGTGCAGCAGGTCCTTCAGCGCTTCCGCTTCACGTACTCCTCGCCTCAGCCCACTCCTCTGCCTACCGGTCACTCGCTCTCAGCTCTGCCTTCGGATGAGTCCGTAGAGCCGAGTGGCCCGTATCCAGAGCTTGTGGGTTGCCTCATGTACCTGATGACTTGCACTCGACCAGACCTTGCATACCCTCTCAGCATTCTTGCACGCTATGTCGCTCCCGGCCGTCACCGGAAGGAGCACATGGATGCAGCTAAGAGGGTGTTGCGCTACTTGTGCAGTACGTCGGGCATGGGGCTAGTGCTTGGAGGGCGAGTCCCAATTGTTCTCACTGGACACTCAGACGCTTCTTGGGCAGACGACCAGGCTACTCTGCGGTCGTCTCAGGGTTACTCCTTCAATCTTGGCTCTGGTTCTGTTTCTTGGCGTTCTACTCGCTCTTCTTCTGTTCTCAGCTCCAGTTGTGAGGCTGAGATCTACGCCACAGCCATGGCGGCCCAGGAGCTACGCTGGCTCACCTACTTGCTGACCGACCTTGGAGAGCAGCCTCGTTCTCCTCCAGTGCTGTACGTCGACAACAAGGCAGCCATTGCCTTGTGTGAGGAGCACAGACTGGAGCACAGAACGAAGCACATTGCTCTGCGTTACTTCCTTGCTCGAGAGCTGCAGCAGCGTGGTCAGCTTCGCCTGCGTTACGTGGCCTCTGAGGCCAACAGTGCTGATGTGTTCACCAAGGCGCTTCACCCTTGTGACCATCAGCGCTTTTGCACTCTTCTAGGCCTTGTGCCTACTGGACCTCACTTGCTTACTTCTTGAGTCTGTTTGTACTGTGATCTCTATATATATACTGCATGTTTACTCTTGTTAGGTTGTGATCATTGTACCTTTTGCTCTATTATAAACCTGCATGTGAACTGGTCTTGTGACCACTTGCTTGTGCTCGGAATTTGTGTGGTATCCTTGAGATCCACCCTGAGCTTGTTTTGCCTTGCTTTGCCTTGACTGGTCTTGTGACCCCTAGTTCTCCCCCACTTTGCCTATGGGGGTGTGTCAAACATTATATATGTTGTGTTAGTTTAGGCTACAGTGGGTTAGCCTAGAGGGGGTACACAATTCTAGGGTTAGGTACTTGTACTCATTTCACTGCTAGTTCATTCATTCCTGTTCAGTGATTCCAACATCTCGATCTTCCGCATGCTCTATATGAGCTATTGCGATACTGATACAGACGCGTTGCTTTCTTTGGAGTGACGAGTGGGAGGAGAGCCTTCGGGAATGTTACGATAACCTTTCGGTCATTCCAACAGCGAGGATTGCACTAAATCGGCAAACGAGTGCGAGATGTGAGCGAAGGTATGAGCAAACATATATAGGGGAAACATACAAACCGTAACGTAGTGCTGGCGAGCTAGCTAGTGCGATGCTGGCAGCAAGGTTCGGGCTGGTCTCGAAGCGGAGGAATGGTGATAATTTCATAGAATGTGAGACAAATCAGGTGAACAACTTAGGGCTGTCAGAGGTCCACTGGTGATCCCCGATTGATCCTAGGGAAGGGTTACAGGCATGTTGGCCTGGGGGGTTATGGGCGCACTGACCCGCTACTGAAACAAGCCCTTTTATCCCAATGGTCTAGTGGTTGGGATTCTGACATGGTATCAGAGCGAAGGTCTCGGGTTCGAATCCTGGTGTGTGCACTTCGGGCATCTCAGTGCGGGGGGGTGTCAGAGGTCCACTGGTGATCCCCGATTGATCCTAGGGAAGGGTTACAGGCATGTTGGCCTGGGGGGTTATGGGCGCACTGACCCGCTATTGAAACAAGCCCTTTTATCCCAATGGTCTAGTGGTTGGGATTCTGACAAGGGCGCGTAACCATTCTTACCCGACGGTTCGAACCGTGGACCGTCCAGGTAGCGAAACGGCAACAAGCTTCGCACAATGTCGAAATCATGTTCGCTGAGGTGTTGGCGACATCGCCAACAAAACGGACTGTAGTGACACTTTTTCCCACTTCAACGGTCCGAAATCTGAACCGTGGACGGTCCGAATCCCAAACGGACTGTCTGACAGTCCTTGCACACGATTGGAGGGCGACGCAAAAACTGTCGAGTCACCTCGTCCACCAACAAAAACGTACGAGGCTACTTCACGAATCGACATCGACCAACCAGAGACAACCCATAAACAAAAATGATTCGATTACGACATTTGCGAGCTTAAAAGAACTGCGTAACGCTTTCGCAGTGATCGCGAAACTGTACATTATGAAAAAAGTGTCAGAACTGTCTTCGGACAGTCCGAAGTTGCAAAAAGTCAGTCGGACGGTCCCGTTCTAGACAGGTGGACCGTCCACTTCGTTTTAAGTGTACTGTCCGTCAAAATCGTAAAATGCAAAATGGTTACGCGCCCTTAGGGGACGATTTTCAACCGAACACTGTAGAAACGGTTAGGCGCTGACCACCACCCCCAAGGGGGCGCTCTTGTGTTTATCCATTCCACCTCCACGGGATTAGGTACATGATGTGTGGTGCCACAACTCACGAGTGTAATAGCCTTCATCATCGGCCTGCACGCAAAAACCTAGCGGACCAACACGGCTTATGGAAGTGCGATTATCGCAAGTAGCGTTACCACCTAGGAAGCTGAGATCGTGAGCGATAATGGCGACGGGGCTCGACGAGCAGGCAATGGACGAGCGCGCGCGCGACGGGTCGACATGGACGGCAGCGGAGGACAAACTATTCGAGACGCTGCTCGTCGACATGGACGCGCCGCCCGACGCCGCTGCAGCGGACGACGCGCGGTGGGAGGCGATCGCGGCGAAGCTTCCGGGAAAGACGGCGGACGAGGTGCGGCGGCACTACGAGGTGTTGGAGGAGGATATTCGCGGCATCGAGAGCGGCCGCGTGCCGCTGCCTGCATTCGATGCCAATGGCGCGTACGTCCTTGCGAGTGCTGACGTCAAGGACGAGCCGATGACGTCAGCGGGATCTCCGCGAGACGGGTCAGGCGCGGAGGCGTCGGGGGCGCGGAAGGCGTCGGCGGGGAGCGCGGGCGCGGGGAAGGAGAAGCAGGCGTCGCCTGCGGGTCAGTCGCAGCAGCAGGCGTCGTCGCAGCAGCAGGCGTCGCAAGGGGCCGCGGCGCAGCAGGCGCGGGGGTCGGAGCAGGAGAGGCGGAAGGGCATCCCGTGGACCGAAGAGGAACACAGGTGCGCGGCATGGGGAATGCGATGGGGAAGGACGCAGGCGCGCGCCGCGCTATGTGCAGGAGGAGGGGGATGGCGAGGGACGCAGGCGCGCGCTATGGACAGGTGGAGGGGGGAGGGGGACGAACAGGTGCGCGCTTTGTGCAAGAGGGGGGGGTTGGAGGAACGCAGGTGCGCGCTGTGGGCAGCTCGCTGGGGTCGTACTGTGGCCAGGGAAGGGCGGGGCGACGCTAGTTCCATGCTAGTTGCCGTGCAATGCTGTGCTGTGCTGTGCGGTGCTGTGCCGTGCCATGCCGTGCCGTGCCATGCCGTGCTGTGCCGTGCTGTGCTGTGCTGTGCTGTGTTGTGTTGTGCTGTGCTGTGCTGTGCTGTGTTGATTTTTTTGGGGGGATGAAATACACTGTGTAATGTATACATCCACAGTCGTAACTGAGCTGTGCTGTGCTGTGCTGTGCTGTTCTGTGCCGTGCCGTGCCGTGCTGTGCTGGGACGGCTGTGCTGTGCTGTGCTGTGCTATTGTACTGTTGTGTGGTGTTTTGTCAGCACAACACCCAGTGCACGCCCTCACACATATTCCCCCATATCTCCTCCTTGCTGATGCTTGCTTCTGCCCACGCCTCTCCTCTCATGCCCACGCCTCTCCTCTCATGCCCATCTCTCATGCCCCTCCTCTCATGCCCCTCCTCTCATGCCCATCTCTCATGCCTCTCCTCTCATGCCCATGCCTCTGCACCCCCCTTCAGGCTCTTCCTGCTGGGGCTGGCCAAGTTTGGCAAGGGCGACTGGCGCAGCATATCGCGCAACTTTGTCATCTCGCGCACGCCCACGCAGGTGGCGTCGCACGCGCAGAAGTACTTCATCCGCCTGAACGCCATCAACAAGGACAAGCGCCGCTCCTCCATCCACGACATCACCTCCGTTGCCGCTGCTCAAGGCGCTGCCGGCGACGCAGGCCAGCAGCAGAGCGGCCCGATCACAGGGCAGCCGGCAGGGGCTGCTAGTGGGGGAGCGCAGCAGGCGCTGCAGCACCAGCACGCGCATGCCCATGCCCATCCTCATGCTCACACACACGCCCAAGGGGTGCCGTCCCACGGGCAGCCCATGCCGCCTGCCTCTGCTGTGTTTGGCCCGCCGGTAGGGGCGCCGCCCATGGGGCACGTGCACCACGGCATGATGCCCATGCCGCCCGCCCCCGGGCACCCCGCGTATGGCCCGCGCACCCACCTGGCGCGGCCTGTGGTGGCGGCACATGGCATGCCCCTCCCCCACATGGGCTACGTGCAACCCCCCGCCATGCACCATTGATGTGCAGCCCCCTGCCATGCACCACTGATGAGGCATGCGGCACTCGCAGGGCGCACTGCACTGAGGCGCGTGCAATAGTGACTTTGGGAGTGCACTGGTATGGCAGAGTTATCATGGTCTGCGGGATAGCTGTGGCCTGTGCCTGTCTACTGTAAAACTGCCTTGCTGCTCAAGGCAGGCCCATCCGTCCATGGTAGCGATCTGCAGCTTGCCACAGGGTTGCTTGTACCCACCAGCCATCGGGGTGAGAAGCAGGGAGAGCACCAGCCATCGGTAAGTTCATTTCCTCTCCATGCAACAGTGGAGGGAGTAGTGCTATAGCAGTTCATCTAATAGAATTGTAGCATGTTGCTGTTTCATGTTCAACAGTTGCTGTAACAGTGGGTAAAGGGTTCTTTTTTTCTTAGGTTGATGACAATGCATGCTTGAGTTGTACGGTAATTGTAAAACGTGTTGGCCTTGTTTGCTTATGCATGTACAAATTCACCTGGTCAGTACACCTGGGAGTACGTCTAAACTAATTTCTTCAGAACAAGTACAGCGGAATAAATGAACTAGGTTACAAATAGGGAATCCTAAAAGGGGTTGTACCCTCCAAAAAGCACCTCAATGTAGCCTAAGGATTTAACATGCACATATGTTTATAATCTGGCGCACCCCCATAGGCTAGGTGAGGGGCATGAAATGAGCAAGACAAGCAACAACTCAGGCCTGATCAGCTAGTCCAACCGCTGAGACCAGGGACGTTGCTAGTTAAAAACCCCGTCTGAGAATCAGACCTGAAAAAAATCCTTCGTCTGAGCATCAGATGATTTTTTACAGCTAGTCTGAAAATTCAGACGAATTTTTTTCCCAAGTCTGTAAATCCAAATGAAAAAAAACACACGTCTAAGAGTATTTAAAGAACAAATGTTGAACTTCTTTTCAAAGAGCGCATGCCTTCGTAGTGGAGAAACGGCTTGAATCTAGATAGTGATGGCAGATCTGCCTGTAGTAGAGCTGAGGATCTCCCCCTATGCAGCAGGAAATCTCCTTAGGTGAGTGAAAACACACGTCAGAATGCAATCTGACGCGTCAGAATGTGTCAGAAGATTTTGACGCGTCAGAATGTGTCAGACGAAACAATTCCCGTTCTGTGAATTCAGACGAAGAAGTGTACAAGGAAGTCTGAAAAATCAGATGAAAAATATTATACAAATACCGTATTCTCCCGGATAAAACACCCCCCCGTAATTGTACACCCCCGGGTAGCTAATACGGGGTGGGTGTTATATCCGACCCCACTTGTACTATACCCCCCTTTTGGGGT